GTATTTTTTAAAAAGAAAATACATATAATAATTTGACTATTAAATGCCTTTGATTTGCATGTGACTTGGTATTTATTTTATATTAACTAGATCAAGTTCTGATAAATCTCTATTATATATGATTTAGAATGTCTATTTTTAAGCCAGAACGTAAGGCCTGTAACTGTGCATCCATGTATAAGCTATCCCGCTTGGTATCTTCTTGGATCCCAGATGGTAAAAATTAACAAAGTAATTTTTGAAAAACCTCAAGTCACAGATTAACAAATAATACATTTCTTCAAGTTTTCTTGATCACACTACTACAACTAACTTGTATTCTGAATATCCAGATATAAATACCAGTAAATGGTTGGGTGGCTATTAAATCATAAGTAAAATTATTCTTGGAACTGGGTCATAGTATACAGGATGCCTTAAAATTTTTTAGTTCAAAGCCTGTAAAATATATAATCATGCCCTTTTATGTGCTTTAAGTTGACATACTGACTTTGCAGTCTATGCTTTGTAAAACAGCAGGTAGCTCTAGCACAGAAGAAACTGTATAATGTGGCATGGGAGATGGCTTTTGTGGCACTATTCCATTTTTGTTTATCCAGACTGTTGCTTTCAGCCCTGCATTGAGGCCTCCTTGTATATCAGTTTCTAATGTGTCACCAACCATCACACAGTCCCCAGGCTGTACTCCAAGGAGATTACAGCAATGATAAAATATGGAAGGTGCTGGTTTCTCTTCTTTCTGTTCTCCACCTACAACGATAGCGTCAAAATAAGACTGACAGGCACAAGCCTCGATCTTCTCCCTCTGTGTCTGTCTGTCTCCATTTGTTAACAAAAGTAGGTAGACCTCCTTTCGAAGTTCAGTGAGCATGGCTTTAACATCTTCTGCTAGTGTCATATGTTGTAAACGTGTCGATTTCCACAGTAAATAACATTCTTCAGCTAATTTCCTATTAGCTGCACCGCCTTTTGTTTCCTGGATTGCTTCTTCCCAGTGTGAAGTCCTTAGATCAGTAATGCATGTATTGGAAGGATGAAAACATTCCTTGCTGAGTTTAACTTGAACTTTGTCACAGATGATTTCAGCTTCTTCTTTGTAATAATGGTATTTTGATTGTAAGAGCTTTATCACCTAAATAAAGGAAAATAACTCCATTAACACACTATATATCTTTATCATGCTGTGAGAAGATGTGATCCTATAAACCTAGAGCAGGGATTCTAACTCACTCCTCTGTCTTAATGCAGCCCTATTACTATACCATTTCTGGTGGGAATTGGTCTTATTTTTAAAGAATACCAGAGTGAAGATCTCCCAACCTCTCTAGACAAGTCATTCATACTTTTTTTTTTCAATTTCTATTATAAAAAGATTTCTTTTATATAGCTAATAAAAGTCCTTCATTTGGCAGTTTAAGTCTACTACCTTTCATTCTTGTCATGAAGATATGAAAATAAAACTTGTGCTTATAGTTAGCAAAACATTTTAATTTTCTAACAACTATTATTTAGACTCTTCCCAGAAATAACCAGAAATAGTGCTAGTTCATCTCAGCTTTTCTCATCTATATGCATTTTATGTTTGAAGACCTAAATTGACCATTATATAAAATGGGATCCAATTCTATCCTTTTAAAAACGTGTATATAGCTCTAAACAAATCAAGCATGTTCTGTGATTTCAGCAGTTTAATGACCCAGTCAGTGTTTCTTCCAAACCTAATTTTCCAGATAAAAAAAATTCAAGTAGTTCTGAGTCACTCTCTTTGTTACCCTGGTTCTGATTCACTTTTCAGAAGTAAGCACTCCTTCTCATGTTCCCACAGCTCTATATCTTGGCTTGTATTATATTAGGTTCTTATCCATTTGGCCCATACTTGCTTACTTCCAATGCCCACATGCTTGCCTTTCCACTACGGTTATGCACTTGAAGACTGGGTCCTTTGTCCTCATGACATTATTTGGTGGGGAAAAAGCAGGTATGTAACCACCACAAATACTGGGTTGAGTGCCATGACAATCTTATGAACAACTGTGGATATAAAGTGGAAGGTGCAAGTTATTCCACAGGGTTGTTGGGAAGGGCTTGGCAGAGGAAGAAACATTTCAACCAAAGAGTTGCCAACCCCCTAAAGTGGGCTGGGAGGAGGATAAAAATCGTTCTAGACAGAAGGAACAGCTTGAACAAAGACACAGATCTTGGAATTTTGTGAACTGGTAAAGGCAAGAGTCTTAGTTCAGCCAAAACGGAAGTCATATGAGGGGGGTGCTAAGAGATGAGACTGGAGAGGCTGTCTGGAATCAGTCTGTAGAGGCCCTTGAGTCCCCGGCTACAGCACATGCTGCTCAGTCCCCTTGGCACACATGCTTCGTACACATGCCAATGTCTTCATACTGTAAGCGCTTGGGTTTCTCTGCCTGAAGGCTTTATTTGGCCATAGGAGAATCCATGCACATAGGCTGGGCTGAAGTGTTGCAGGCCTCAACCAATGAGGGACCGAAATTGGTGATAAAATATCACGGCTTTCTTGCCCCTTGGGAGGGACAAGCAAAGAATGTTCTGCATACTGTCTCCCAGAGTTCCCCAGCTGTTCACACCAGTAACCTGCTCATTTATGTAACTTGTATTCAATTCCTTCCCTTCCCTGTCTTACTCACCATCCCCCTAGAGTACTTCCTGGGATCACCTCCCAAACAAACTAAATGCACTTGAAGTCCCTGTCTTAGAGACAACTGGGGAAAGTCAACGACGCCAAGACTATTTTGGATCTTTGAAGATGAGTGCAGTGCACATAGTTTGCACTAAAAATTGTCTGCTGTTGAAACAAAGAAGTCAAACAAGTTAAAATATGTTGCCCTAAACTATACAGAAAATAAGTGGTATGCTACTCACACCAGACACTCAATTCATCCACTGAAAAGAAGAAATAGATGAACAGACACATTCTTCTTCCCTCAGAGTGTAACAATAACTAACATCAAAAGTAAAGATTTTTGGCCGGCCGAGTGACTCAGTTGGTTAAGAGTGTGAGCTCTGAGCAACAGGGTTGCCAGTTCAATTCCCACATAGGCCAGTGAGCTGCGCCCGAGCTGAGCTGCCACTGAGCTGCCAACAGGTGGCAGTGGCAGGATGACTCAGCTGGTGAGAGCATGTGCTCCTAACAACAAGGTTTCAGGTTGGACTCCTGCATGGGATGGTGGGTTATGCCCACCCACAACTAAGATTGAAGGACAACCACTTGGCTGTTCCCCTTCTCCAATTCCCCAACACTGTTACCCCTCCCTAATTCTCCAATAAAATCTTTTTTTTTTTAAAGATTTTATTGGGGAATTGGGGGAGGGAACAGTGTTGGGGAGTCGGGAAAGGGGAACAGACAAGTTGCTGTGCTTTTGTTCTTCAGTCTAGTTGTGGAGGATGTCGCTTCACTGGCCCATGTTGGTATTATCATTGCACTCTTCCCTGGTGAGGCAGATCAGTCGCTGGCCTCTGGACAGCCACTCACAGCAGCTCACACCAGCTGCTGGCCAATCATGCTGGCTGCCAGTCACACACAGCAGCTTATGGCAGCCCACTGCAGCAGGGACTGCAGCCTACACCGTCACTGACGACTCACAGCAGCCCAGCTCCAGGTCAAGTTGTTGTTCACTATCTTAGCCGTAGAGGGCAGTGTCACTGGCCCTCATGTGGGATCCAAGCCGAGGCCCTGCTGCTCAGAACTAGCGTCCCAAGTCAGCTCTTAACCAATGCACCACTCGGCCGGCCCAGCCCAATAAAATTAAAAAAAAAAAAAAAAGGTAAGGATTTTTTAGGCTATTTGTGCCCATAAGAAAATGTAATAATTAAGAAAAGTTTTGTCAGTCCAAGAAAAATATACCAGCTCTAAGAATTTTAGGTGAAGGCAAAACACTGAAAAATTTTGCCTTATAAGGTTAAATTTCAATTAACAAATCAAGTTTTTTCAACTTTCCTGGTTATGTCACTATGTCACCATCTTTTATAATAATGTCAATTGAATTACTCTTGAACTATGATTGAAGGTCATTCTATAGGTTCAGCAACCCTACTGTTACACAATAAAAAGAAGCAGGCCTCTAGGACTCCACCGTACTTGTACTTAAATAGGAGCTGACTCATAGTAAACAGAGGGCTGCTGATAAAGAACTAAGTTTATGTTACTGCAACTGACAATTCATTAAGTACATTCTTGGGTCTCTGAAAAAACAGAATTAGCTTATCTTAAAAAGGAGATTCTTGTAAAGGCATAGTATACCACTCTCAGGGTTTAAAATTTCTTCCCATTACATCCCCTGAATTAACTTTCTCATTTTGTCATACAGCAACTAATTACAGATTTCATCTGAGAAAACAAGTAGCATTTTAATAATATTAACATCTTTGGGAAAAAACTTTATCAGCCATTCACATATTAATATTAGATCAAACAGAGATAATACCCAAGTTGAATTAGTACATGTTATTATTAGTATAAACTCTCCTAACATTTGCACTGAGAGAACGGGAATTTTGATTGAATTGGGGGCAGAGGAAAAAGATCTCTAACTTGGAGGTGTGGAAGGGGTAAGGCAGGCTTGAAAAAAATTGTGAGTAGAATAAACTCACCAGGTACCTACAGACCTGAATAAAGATGCCCTAAGATAGTGGGGACTAGATAGTGGGAATGGGGAATCAATTTGTAGACATAATATAAGCTAAAACTTTACTTCAAAACTCTATTTAATAAAGATGTCAGATTAGGTAAATGCTATGCCTACTGCATCCCAGGATCACACCAAAATTACAAATATAGATCAATGTACCTCAAGAATCATCTGAAAACTAGCTGAACAAAACCTCTATAACTAAGGATATAAAGAAGAGGCCACATCAACACTGGTAGGAAGGGTAGGGACAAGAAACAGGCTGACCACAAAAGCCACAGATAGTGGTTCAACACCAGGAGAAACACCTCCATGGTGGATGTTCAAGGGAGGGGTCCCAGCCTCACACTGGGCTCCCCATCCTAGAGGTCCTGTGTCAGGAAGAGGAGCTCTCACGGCCTCTGGCAGTAAAAATCAGCAAGAATCCTGTCTGCCTGTCCCAGTGAGACAGGCAGCTAGAAACCCAGATGCGCTCTTACAGAGCCCCCACACAGACTTGCTTATAAATACTCACCTGGTTTCTGGTGGAGGGGCAATGGCTTGGAAGGCCCAGAGATGTGCAGGGAAAGACTGAATTGTGTGGCTGCAGCATGAGGGCTGCAGGGACAAGAGCCATTGTTGTCCCAGTGTGGAGCCTGATACATGTGTAGCCTACAGGAGGCTGACATCTTTTCAGTGTTGAGTCCTCATGCAAAGGGCCAAGGCTGGGAACACATTGGTCAGGTAGAATCTGTGCATGTGCACTGCCTTGGTGATGCCCTGGGTCCCCACCTCCTGCACAGCTGGTCCTACACTCTGGACTGCTGGTCCCATCACACAGGCTGTGGAAGCCGTTGTGCAGTGGTGGATTACCATGGCAGCCTGGGAAATGTTTGTTGTTGGGGGTGACCCAAGACCTGCTCTGTAGTAGCTTTTTGGGCAGCTCTTGGGGACCTGTGAACCAGAGATGGGCGGTGGCTGATTAAAGTGTTCTTGGGGCATTTTTGTGGGGTGCCCAGGGGCCCGGCACCACTTCGAGAATGGAGACTGCATTGACTTTGTAGAAGAAATCAACCACACCCCTTAGCTCCCAGGAAACCCCACCCACCTAGAGCTGCAATGCCAGGGGCACTCTTGGTGCCTGGGTGGTCAGCCCCTCCCTATTAAGCCATGAAGGCTTTTACAGCAGTAGGTGGTCCAGTGACAACCCAAAGAGGTTTGGGTGGTGGACACACTGACCGAAAACCTGCGCCACAGGCGCTACAGGGCAGCTGTCAGGGATTTGCCAGCCTCAAGCAAGTGGTAGCTAGCTGCAGTGTGCTAAGGGCATCTTCTTGCAAAGTGGTCATACTCCAGGCCCTGCCCCAACGTGAGCAGTGGCTGGCTGCAGTGTTCTTGGTGCACCATGCGAAGTAATCACAGGTCGAACACCGGTGAAAGAACTGAATCTGCATTAACTTTGTAAAAACCACCAGCCATGTCTCATGACTCCCTG